ATTTTACTCTTCATTCAAAATGGTATAGGCAGTGGAGCGTTATAGCTTCACGGAGGCCCGAGAGAATTTGAATTAGGGGGCCTCATGTATGTACAGTGTTCACTTCAAACATTTTTTTCGGAAGAATTTTTGAGGAATCCCCGGGTGTCTTTCGTTTTTTAACACGATCTCTACAGGTTTTAAGTTCTGCACTGCTCCATTGAACCGCGCGACTGAGCCATACCGGCAATCTAAAGCCCACAGATATGGCCCAAATTTAAATTTCGATAATCTTAATACAGTAATGAGTTTATATAAGATTGGTTTAAGACCCCCTGTTGGTGAGAAATTACTTTTCTTGCCTATCCACTGGGCGCAGGAGTGAATATAGGTTCGTACGTTTAAATTCGGACCCTCCTAACATCCGTTCTAGTTACGCTGCTGATATGTATGCATTAATACATGCATTTAAACAATGTGAAAGAGGTCAGATAAAGCTTAAGCCAGTTACAAATGTGGACTTCTCTCCAAGAAGCATAAAAAAATTATAAATAAAATCGATAAAACAAATAATATTTGATTTTTATCAAAAGAAATTTTAACCTTTTATTAGATTGGTGTTATGTTTTTTTGTATTAAAGACACACAGGATGAAAGGCCAAGGATCAAATTCCTCTTTTGGCTCTCTCTATCATTGTAATTATTGTTATAATAATTATATGTATTAAATAAGTAAAAGTATATTTAATAATTTATTTAAATTCTTAAATAATAAGCTTTATAAACTCCTTGTAAGTCTCTTGTTTTAGTACATTAATAATACATAATCTCATTATAAAAATAATAGGATCCTCGTTTAATTCTCAGACAGAATGAGGGAAGATCTGAGTGAATTTTATTGAAGATGAAACATTATCCATGTTAATTAGAACTAAAACATTTAAAGAATAATAATATAAAGGAAGGAATATATTAATTATTTTCTTTAATTCTAATAATTAGAAAGGTAACGCTTGTTTTCAATTAATTTTACAATTTTCTTAACAAAACAATTAGTTTTTATTAATGAAAACATTCTGTAATGTACTTTAATTTAATTATTTTAATAATTAATATAATTTAGAAAATTAGTAAAAATAATAATTTCAATTAAGTGAAACTTTA